AGAACAGCTACGGCAGATGACAAGAAGCTGCAGTTCTCCCTCAAGAAACTAGGAGTCAACAACATCTCTGGCATTGAGGAGGTAGAGCAAATTCTGTCTGAAATGCACAGAAATAAGTAGGCAGACATGTTTTCTTCCTGATGTTATTGCTGAAAGGTCAGGTTTCCCCACTTGATAACAGAATAATAAATATGATAAGAAAGGCCAAATATGACTCACATGGGATCAGATTTTCATCAAATGAAGCCTTTTAATTTCTGTATTTCAGCACTGAAAAAAAATTTGTTTATCAATTGTTAAAGAAAAGTTGGCAAAAAAGCAGCATATGCTTTGATGTTTCTGTTTATCATCTTGGTAATTTAAATAATAACTAATAACATAATATTCTATAATAGGAGTCTAAAATAATGAATATCCTGACAGCTTACAGTGAAGTGTCTACAATGTTGTTTTAGATTTTAAAGAGTATGAATGCTGTCCAATCATTGATTGGTGACCAGTTCTGTAGTCAACAATAGTAAAATTAACATAATTATGGGTTTTAAAAGTGAGTCAAATCAATCAATTGTTGAAAATTGTGTTTGGTACTGGCAGAGCCTTGCCAACTGTTGCGTCATCCGCTTTGCCACTTAACCTCAAATAACTCTATTTTTCTTCCTCTTTGTTGCCTTCAACTCCTTTTGTTTTGCCCTGAAGGTGAACATGTTCACAAACCAGGGGACAGTGATCCACTTCAATAATCCAAAGGTTCAGGCCTCCTTGGCTGCCAACACCTTCACAATCACAGGGCATGCTGAGAACAAGCAACTCACAGAGATGCTCCCAGGAATCCTAAACCAGCTGGGAGCAGACAGTCTTACCAGCCTCAGAAGATTAGCAGAGACCCTGCCCAAACCAGGTACCCCAAAAACCCTTTACTGATGTATTTACATGCATCAGTAGTTTTGTGTGCTCTCTGCCAACAATTTGCTATTTGTTTGTTTTTTCATAGCTGGAGAAAACAAAGCTCCCATGGTTGCTGCTGAAGAGGAGGATGATGAGGTCCCAGGTAAGCAATGTCATACATACCCTTTTAAGATCATTTGTATTAACTCTGTAATATATTCTGACATTAAAATCATCACATTTTTAACAGTCCACAACAGGCTGACCTCAGTGTTTGCTTTTATGTCTAATCACAGTTGGACAAGTATGACCTTATTAGATCTAATAGGTTTAGTTTTTGTGTATCTGGTTGGACAGAGTTTTTGATTTATCAAACAGCTGACATTTGTTGTTATATACATATTTAGTAATTTAGTCTTAATTGTATGCCAATATTATGCTTATTTAGAATTAGAATTATTTAGACATTTTCATATTTCCATTATTTGTTATTGTTTCTATCCTTCACCACTCTTTACCCTTCTGTTTCCTTTTTCAGATCTTGTTGAAAACTTTGACGAGGCTTCAAAGAACGAGGCAAACTAACAAACACCAGCGAACATTTCAGCGCTCCTCTAGGCTCACCATACTTTGACACAGCAGCATTTTGTGGTTGTTCATCTCTGTTATTACTCTGTAGCTACAAACAAAAGTTGCTTTTTAATTGTAACCCTCACAATCGGGCTAAAACAAGCAAAACCGACTTTTTATGACACTTGTTACCTACCCTTTTGTTTGATTTGCCTCGTTCTGCAGTACAAGTGATATTATTTAACTCAGTGGAATGTGCAGACCTTTTTCTTTCTCACACTGCCGCTCCTGCATTGTGATTCCCACACATCAAAAATGTATTGTTGGAATTAATCATGTAATAAAGATTACATTAAAATTTCTCTGTTTTTTTTTTTTTTTTTAATGCTCTACCAATTCTCCACAACCTTTAAATGTAAAAGTGTGTTTACTTAATTCTTTGTTGGCAACATTATTTTCAATCCTATGGTCTTAGCTTCCTAAAATTTCACATGTGATAATTGTAGAAGGAATATACAAGAAAAAAACACTCAATTGTTTGTCATTAGCAATGGTATATTTTTTATTAGTGTATAAGTGGGGAAAAAAAAGATTTGTGGGTAAACATTAAAGCCAAGCTATTAAGGGGCCTGTGTCGACAGAAGCACTTGATGAATTGGAAACCTGTAACTGAAGGCTGATAAACAGCAGGAAAAAACCCAGACTGTTGTATACAATACAGCTGTGGGCTTCAAACAGGCCAGTGCCGCTCTTCCTCCTGGACACAGTACAGTAGTTGCAAAAACATCTGATTATGATGTTATTTTATAGATTTTACTGACTCTCAAATCGCAGGTGTGGCAAAAGTAGCAATTTAGCCAAATATTTCATCATTGAGAGCTGGAGCATAACATCAGCTACAACTAACAAAAACCAAACCAAATTATCTTTGTCATACACCTTGAATAAGAAATGATCTTCCTGAGTACTGTGTCATTGTGAATGAGTAGTTGGAGTTAAATTTCCACCTGAAGTGATAATGTATTAATCACTGAATCTCTGGTGTTCACGCATAAGGGATTTTTACAACAGCGGTAAGGTGACCCTATCTCTGGCGTTACACATACTCATTGGTCACTGTTGCCACTGAGTATCAGCTGTTAATCAATCTGTAGCTTTCCAGTGGAAAAAATGGATGCCTACATTGATCTAATGTTGCTTATTCTGCTTCCTTGCAGTTCATAGAGCAATGTAAGAGCTAAACAGAAATTAGACAAACACAAGGCAAAATAATACATTCAACTGTTGGCACCAGAAATTTAGCAAATACATAAAGTTATTTCACAAATAAATGCAATTAACATGCCTTGTTTCCACTTAATTGGACCTAAACTCCTACTTCAGCCCTCTCCCCCAGTTCATCCTTATCACTTGTTACTGTACCGTTGACTCCTTTTTACTATCAGTTTCCATTTGTTACATACAGTGGGTTTTTTTTCCAAATAAACCACAGGAAACTACAAAATAAGAACCACACATGGGGTCATATACACTATCTGTGATGCTCCATATGTTGCTCATTGAGCCAGATAAGTGTCACAGTGAACTGTAGCATGAAAATATCATACAGTTTACATGAGATACCTGTGTCTCTGTATATATGACATTGATGAAATCTGCTTTTGTAGGGTGCATGTTGATGGTTTGTGACGCTGACGTAATACTCCACTGTAAACCAAAGGATGCTTTGTTTTTTATAGAGTAATATCTTAGCAACACACAGAATGAGACCGGACTTTGCGGCTTCATATTAATCATCTGATTAAGTGGAAAAAAGAAGTTGGGTGACTCAAAACCATATTTGAACTTCAAAGTGTAATCTCTATTGAAAATATTTCACCTCGGGGAAGAAATTCTAAATGAAAAAAATATTTATAGGTACAATGAAATTAACAAAGCTGAAACTAATTTATTGAAAGTTATACTATACAAACATATATTACTTTAAATTCTTAGCACTATAACTGTAAAATATAAAATTCTAAATTCAGTGGTAGAGCAATATATTTATGGTATTATCCAGACCCCTGTAGAGGCCAGCATTAACAACACATATGTAGTGCCTGTATGACACATTGATCAACTACCTTTCCCCCATTCTGCATTTATTTCTAGAACTCTATGAATGTTTCATACCAGCTATTTCTGCTCATGTGATCTTAGAGGTTTCGCAGAATTTTAGGTCAGCTTGGAAATGGAATTAAAAGCTTTGTGTCATACTGAACAGGATGAATTATTTTAAATATACACTATGATGTACTCACCTACCTAAGTGTAAGAGGACAAAAAAAACCATAAACATAACACCAAATACCAATGTAGCCCCCCAGCACATGAGCTGCAAGGCTTTGTTCTCTATAGAAGTACTTCACCCAATGTTTAACGCCTGATACTATCAGGTGATTTACATACATAAAAATATTATTTATTTTTTGAGTGTGGCCTAAAGAACTGCTTGTTGTTCTTTCATAGCTGACCTTTGGCAAAAGAAATGGGTTGCCCCATGACTAATAGGCAGGAAAGTACTTTTTTCTTTCCCTGTCTCTTTTCCTTTGCAAGTTCAAGTACAGTACACATGGTCTTGAACTTGGGGACATCAAATGTCCGCACAAAGATGGAATGATGGTGAAAACCCCTGAAAGAAGATAATATTCGTTGGCCTTCACTTTAGCCAAAATAATGCGTCATCATCTCTGGGATTTCAGTCCAGGATTAAGATTTAGAATTAGATTTGGAAAATATTATCTTTAATATATCTTACATACAGCGTCTCTTGTAAGGAGAGAACTAATTATATTTTTCAATTTCAGGTATCTACATATTCATTTTTCAATCAACCTAGCAATAATTTGGTCTATAAAGTGTGAGGAAAGAGTAAAAAGTAAAATAAACATTTGAAAAACAAAATAGAACAAAAAAAGAACAATTTTACAACACCCACAAAGGACAGATAACATGTGTAGACCGACTAACAACTTATTTGTAAAATTTCTATTCCATTTCCCACAGGTAGGACATCTGTATTATGTTCATTTTAGGTGAACTGGCCTCAGGGAAATAAGATTTGCCTCAAAATTAAATGATAAAGATAGACGATCAAATGTGTGTGTGTGTGTGTGTGTGTGTGTGTGTGTGTGTGTGTCTTAATCAGATACAGCATAGGCCAGATACTGTGTACTGTTTATTTCAGCTGAAAGGTCGAGGGTAACCCCCCACCCCACCGAACACTCACTCTAACACTAACACTTCTTATCTCTACCTATCAGCCTCTTATTTGAAACTCACACTGCATCTGTTTTACTAATTTGATAGGCAAAATACTATGGAGGAAATCCACCAGCAGAACTGCTGACAGCACTGCCCACCATATGTTTCTTATCCATTTACTATCTTAGTTTCTCTCACACCTCAAAAAAGGGGTATGACTGTGATGACTATGGTGATGATGATGTATGCTGTATGCAAAGATATAAAAATGAAGCTCAGTGGTCAGTAAGAGCATACAGTCATCAGAACTACTGCGGCTGAACTTCTGCTATTCATTTTTTTTCATTGTATCACTTCAGTGTAATTTCATCCAAATGGTAAGAACTAATTACTGGGAGTCAAAGCAAGGAAAATGCTCAAGATTTTTAAATTATACTTATTGTTATTTGGTCAGATGATGTGGCATCTGATTGGTTATGATAAATGATATTATAGTAATTTGCTATTCTGATTATTTTTGCATTATCAAAACATGTTTTTTCAACTAAAAGAATTCAGCCAATTGAAGTGTCTCATGAACAAGTTTTTATTAAGATAAAACGGGTAAATCATGGGATAATTACTTAGGTTTTAATGCAAGTAATGGATCGTTTTCAGTAATCTTTTCCTCTTGTCACACAATCCCACAGAAGACTTTGTCTCTGTGGATATTTGGGCTTCTGCTCATCGACCCCACTGGAGTACTAGGACTCCACCACTTTCCAGAAAATTGTACGTCTCATTTATGGTCTACAGGTTTTTTCTGATAGGAATTTTTCCATATCTTCAGTGGCTGTTGATTTGTTAATCTATGTGTTTTGTGCATGTGTGTGTCTCTGTCTAGTTGTTACGGCAAAAAGGGATCACAGTAACTCTGTGACACTGACCTGCAATACAAACTTCGACGGACCTTTCACTTGGAAGCTTGCTGCAAAGACGGTGGATGAGGCTGAAGAGATTGAGGATTTGAACAGCACTTACAAGCAGGTTGGCAAAAATCTGATCGTGTCAGATGTAGATTCACCCCTACTCGGAGAATACAGCTGCTGGAGTGGAGAAGAGAGGTTATCATCAACCTTTCTGCTGGTGGAGGCTGAGGAGGGAGATGACTTTGGTGAGATCCTCATTTGAATTCTCATTTTTCTTTTCATTTATAGTGTAAATGACAAGACTCTCAATTCGAGGAACCTAAATATCCAAAGTTGGTGCTGACAAAGCCAATTTAAGTCTCGAAACTCCCTGCATGTGAGTCTGGCTGGAATATTTCTCTCTCTGGAGAACGAAATTGAAAGTCAGCACATTCTGAATCATGCTGTAATGGACTTCGAACATACAGTGCATTTAGAAAGTTTTCAGAGCGATTCAAACGTTTTTTTTACATTTTGTTATGTTGCAGCCTTATGCTAAAATAAAATAAAAACATTATCCCTCGTCAATCTAAACTCAATACCCCATAATGACATAGTGAAAACACAATTTTAGAAATGTTTTCAAATTGATTAAAATTGAAAAACTGATATATCACATTGACGTTAATATTCAGACCTTTTGCTAAGACACTTGAAATTTCACTCAGGTGCCATAAATGTTGTTGTTTTTTTATTTTAATATAAGGCTGCAGTATAACAAAGTGTAAAAAAATTGAAAGTATCTGAACACTTTCTTGAAGCCCTGTAAATATCTTACATTCAGTGATATTTTCTCTTCATTTTTTGGTGTGATGAAGTTTAAACATTTTCTGTTAAACCTCTAGATTCTCTCATGAAATGTTGGGCAAAGTCTTATGACTGTACCTTCAGCTGCAACTGGACCAAGGGTAAATACACAGCAGTGCGCCTTGGACTGGGAGATGACTGGTAAGTAAATTTAAAAAACACAGACAGTATACAGTAAAGAGGTCTGTTGCTTATGGTATATGAAGATAGACCAAGAAGCTGAAAGAATGGTACTCACTCAGTTACATATTTAACTCAGTGTCTGACTTCCTGCTTGCCTCTGTAGCAGTGAAGGTAGGAAGTCGTGTCACTGGGTCAACAGCAGCGGTCAGCATCTGAATGGGGGATTCCAGTTTGAGCTGTCCCACTCCCTCTCACCCTACGCTGAGGAAACCAACATGCTTGTACTCACTGCTGAGGCCATCATGAACAACAACATCCTCAGGAGAACCAAAAGATTTTATCTCAGAGACATCAGTAAGCTGAGTGAATGAGCTAAAGGCATTGAGCAGAAGATCATCAAGGTTTGAAGTAAACAATAAGTAAAGCAAATTTTTTAACTTTGATTGTTCTTCTGTCAAGTTCAACCCGAGAGTCCCCAGATTATCAACTGTCAGGAGGTGGAGCAGGAACTGAATGTGACCATTGATCCACCTTCCAGCTGGTCCAGTCCTCACAGTTTCTTCAGTCTGGAGCATGAGATTCAATACAAGTTGAAAGACGATGGCAAAGAGATAAAGGTACATACAAGCTTGCAACGAAACAATGTCTGGTTATCATTCAATGCCTGTCAGTCGCTCCATTGCAGTTTGTTTCCTTATTGTGTGATCTGTCTGCCTTTAGGTTATAGGCTCTCCATCTGCTCTGATACCGAAGAAGATCAGCATGCTCAGGGTTCGCTCCAGAGACCCACTGGTGCTCTCCAACTGGAGCCAGTGGACTCCTTGGAAAAATGTAACCTACTGACATTATCCGAAGCCAGCACTTTGTGTTCTTGCTCTTTCTTTGTCCTTACATGTCTACAATTTCCTGTCATGTCCTCTCACAAACTGTTTTTCACTATTTGTTTCTGGCTATCTCCCTTTGGCCAAGAGATAACACAGCACTCACCAGAAGAGTTTTGCACACATCAGCACACTATCATTATTTATTTTTATTTATGACTGAGGTCAAACTATTTATTTGTTTATATATTTATTATTTAAAGTAAATCATGCACACATAAATCTAAAGAAAAACTTTCAAAAGCACTATTTGCCAATTTGGGGTCTGATAACCATCAGCGGTCTATGTGAAGGAGGACACTAGGCAACGACTGTATCATTGATTGTATCTACCACAAAAATATCAGGTGGGGTTATTTTTTTTTTCAAATACTATAAAATGGGTCTCCACAGTTTTGTCCATTTAAGGACAAAACTCCAGCCTTGACATTAAAATCTAAAGATATCTACATAATACGTAACTTGCATCAGAGATGCATCAGAAATTAAATTTTAAATTTCCTCTTTAGTCCAGTTCAGTCTGCACTTCATGTTTCTTGTCCCTGTGATTTCTGTTTGAGTGAGTTGGTGTTGCTGTGTGTTTTGGTGGTTTTGTGCTGTGCAAAACAAATGGCTATTAAAAGAGCATGTTGCTTCCTTCCTTATATATGTTCCTTCTTCATTTATGTGTTGCTCATGACATGTGTACACCTACTTGCCAGATAAACAGAAATCCTGAGCAGTATCATTCAGTGTTAAACCACATTCATGTAGTTTATGGCAGTGGACAAAATATTTGAAATCTTAGTACTGCATGCTCCTTGATTTTCTAAGGTCAAACCAGCAGGTTTAATGTCTGATGTCTCTTGTATGAAAATAATTAATCCTAGAGCTTCTAATAAAGAATCATCTTAAAAAGGAAAAGGTGTTATATACCAAAAAAGAGGAACAGCAACAAGTTTTAGTTACTGATCCCTATTATGTGACTTACAATACGCCAGTAACATTTATAATGGATGTCCTAGCTTATCATGACGACTAGTCACTTTTAATGCATACAAGCCCCTCTAAGTTATCATTTATTGGTAATCAAGTTACCCTTTATTAAAGGCTACAGGCTATTTATAATATTCAGCCGTTTTTAGCTGGTGATGAATGACCAATAGTAATTTTTCAGAAAGGAATCCTTTTTATTTCATTTAATACTTATCACCTAGTTCAGGTAGAAAACCTACAATTACATATCTGGCATTTATTGAATAGTCCTTGTACTCCAACATTTTTTAAAGAAGTGGAACAAATAAAAATAAGTGAGACAGTAACAACAAGGGGAAACTCTTTCTCAGTGGCTGTCAGCTACACTATCATGCTAATACTTTCAGTTTTAACATAATATGCCATCAATCAGTGATAAGACTGTGTGAACAAATACAGATGCTCTAAGGCATTAACTACATAGCAAACAGCAAAATGCAGCAGGTTTATCAAAGCTGCACCTGCTTTACCAGCCAGATTTGTTAAAGATGATACATTGAATCCCAACTAGAATTATGGCATGAAATGCTATCTGCAAGTCCAAACCTTACAATGTTAAATAAATGTATTTTCTGACGGCTCATCGACAGGGAAAAATTCTTTCCGTGATAGCCTGACATCTGACACCTGGCACTGATAGCGACCAAACAGTAATAGGAGACATTCTTTGTAGGCTATATATAGCCAGAATTTGCAAAGACAGGCTGATAAAGTTCACCATTTCAGAACCTAATCTGTCCTTAACTCATTGCAGGTGATCATAAAGGAGGAGAAGTGGTGCTGTTGCAGAAACACAGAAAAATCTTGCTGTCCAGAGTTGCCACCAGGGTACTTGGACAACTGCAAAAGGAAATGCAATAAGGGAGGGAATAAAAAAAGGAACAAAAATGCTAAGAGGAACCAGACACCTTACAAAGAACATGTTCAATAAAAATGGGAATGTTATGGTGTACAAACTCCTCTTATATATATACAGTATTAAGTAAATAAATTGTACATTTGATTGCATTTGTTGAGTGCCTAATCAAAGGTGAAACATTTTGGATTTTAAGGATATTAAACTGAATATCTAAAATCTTTAAACTGAAGGCCTTATTTGTGTGATTCTGTGAATTACCAGTTTGTGAGATACACAAATTAATGCAGTCTAGTGCAACAACCATGCAATAAATCTATACCATCAAAAAGGATATAATAAAGTTTAACTCAAATTATTTCTATTTTATTTCATTATTATCATTATTATTATTATTGTTATTATTATTATTATTATTATTATTATTGTTATTATTATTATTACTTTAATTATTTTCTCAACAGTTGGAGCAATTTCTAAACAAAGAAATTGGTTATCTGTGTGCATTAATGCAGGCCTATATGATTCATGAAAGGCACAAACTGGGGCTCTTGCGAGATAAACTAGAATATAAAAAGTGTAGGCTGCACACTGCACAGAGGTGTACTATTTGTAGAAACGGGATGGGGTCAGATTAAAAGGACCCAACAGCTAATTTCTGCCCCGCGTTCCCTTGCACGTTAATCCGGTTTAACGATGGTAGCATGCGCATGACAGGAAGAGTGGTTATGGCTGCTAACCTGCTGTTCACTGGCGTAGCGATAACTAACGCTACACATGGACCAAATGTCGCTGCCAAATATAAGGCACACTGAAGTTTCGTCTATGTAACGTTGTAAATGTCTTGAACATGGCAAAGGTTCTTCGGACAGCAGCTTTAGTTTCGTACCTGTGGAGTTTTTTCATGCAGTTCAGTCGCGTGTCAGGTGAGGAACAGTCATTGAGGCAGAGGCGAATTTCAAATGCTAGTAAATAGCTAATTTAGCTAACGGTCGGCGTTAGCTAAAGCTTTTATTTATCCATTGTTTATACACGTGTAGGTTGGCTGCGCACACATGCAAATTTCACACGGTTCGTCAGAAGTGTACTGTGTCATATTGCCAGTGTATTTCCATCCTATGTCAGCCTGCTTCTGTGGTTAACCTGCACTGACTTCATCCTGGTTATTCGCAACTCTGAGCTAAGCTAGTGGTAAGTGTTTCTCTTTTTTTTGGACCGCTCCAGGTCTTGGGATCAATGAACTGTTGTATTTCCGGGTCATCAGTCCAGAGGAGATAGGGTATATCTTCAGTGCAGCACCTGCTAGAGACTTTGGAGGAGATTTTGTAAGTACACTCCTCATTTGAATTTGAATGCCCAAAGGATTCTCAAGCTAAATACACATGTATGCTCGCCCCCTCTAATCACATTACTCTTCTCTCCCTTGGTTGTTAGACATCATCTTATGATGAGATTTTCCTGGTGCCAGCAGACCCATTAGATGGCTGCTCAGACCTGAAGGACAGAGAAATCATTCAGGGACAAGTAATCCTGGTGGAAAGGGGGTATGCAAACATGCTTCAACACATATAGTTGCACCTCTATAAGCCAGAGAGGATGTGAAAACAAACCAGTAACTGGACCTGTAAGATTGGACAGATCCATTTAGCAGTTGAGGGGAGGGGAAGGGAAGGAGACTAATTGAAGCTGTGCCCTGAGACTAAGCTTAAGATAAGAAGCCCAGGGCGTGGCTGTAAGAAATGGAGACATTTGAGTTTTCTCCTAGTAAAGCAACTGTCCTAAGCTTGGGTGTGGTTCCATTATTGATTGTCCTCTCACAGCCTTAAAAAACGACAGTTTGAGCTGTTGTATTGTAGGTGCAAGTTATGTGTTACCTCTGGAATAAAAAAAGTATTGAGGTCAAGTCCTCTTAACCCTAAATGTATCTTTTTCAGCTTTAAAGCTATTTACACATAACTGAAGTGAGCAGTTTTTCTGGCTTTTTAAGAAATACCAAGAGTAATGTGTCATGTTGAATATTAAGTGGAATTCAGGTGTCTTACACAGGGTATTTGTGTGAAGGTGAGGTACAGATGAAATGATATCACGCACATTTTTGGAATGCAAATCAAACTGCCTCTATGGGACAATAGAGTTTCACAAGGCTAGGCAAATATATTTGTATAGCACATTGTCATACACAGGTCATTCAGTGTGCTAAAAAAATAGAAGTATAAAGCATAAACATGTGAATAAATATGTGACAACAGGTCATTGGTAGTACTACAACTTGTTTTTGCTGGCACATTTTAAACTAGTTTCTAATGTTTTTTTCGTTTTTTCTCCAGAGGGTGTTCCTTTGTACAAAAGGCGCGGCATGTGGAGGAAGCAGGGGGCAAAGCTGTTCTTATTGCTGATAATGCAGTGGACAATGACAGTCAGTACCTTGATATGATCACTGATGGAACCACTGTCAAACCAAGCATACCTGCTCTGTTTCTGCTGGGACGTGATGGGTAAGACAGATATACACACACACAAACAGCCATTCAGAGCATTTTATTTTATTATATTTAAGGATTGTTACAATACATTTTGGGATATTAATGATTTATTTTCCCCTTTTCCATGTGTTCTAGGATGATGATCAGACGATCTCTTGAGAGACAAGCACTGCCGTGGGCTGTCATTTCCATTCCCGTCAATGTTTCCTCTCTGGCCTCATTCCCACTCAAGCAACCACCATGGACACTGTGGTAGAAATGACTCACACTCACAACTTCATCCACCCCCTCAATCAGTCAACATTTTTCCATTGGTGCATATCATGTCAGCAGTGAATAACCTGACAGCCTTGCAGGGAAAGACTTTGGTGGTGGTAAACGAATTCACACGCACTAGTGCTGAACCAATAAATTTACATATGGACACATGACTAGATCAGGTACACACACAGCTGAAGCCATGTGGAGAAAACCTATTGGTAAACCTCTTTGTTGGATATGCTATACCAGGTAAAGACAGAAGAACTTATGCTCAGAATAATTAGTCAGTGGTCATGTGAGTGTCTTCCAGCAGAGCAGTCTCCAGGAACTTGTGTTCAGATGATCTGTTGGTCACCAGTGAGTGGTGAAACTGGAAAATCCAATATGCATTAATACAACACATACAAATTGAAGTGCACTGTTTCTTCTGCCTTGTCTAATAGTTCAAGCGATTGTGCAGGCCATTTGGGAACAAAGAACAGGTCATGAAAGCATATGTTATACTTCACCACAACCGCTTACGGGGAATGTCGTCTCACTGTAATAATGTAAATAACTTCCTGTTTATCTGCATGAACTATAGCACTCCGGTCAGAAGTGAACATTCTTTTTCTTATGGCAAATAAATATAAAATGAAACTTTTTGCATAACAGGCTATCATTTATTGCCTTTCGGAGATACACATCTGTAAAACTTTAAAGGCCATACACATGTGCCTGAAGCCCAATCACCCAGACTACTGTGGCAGTAAAAACCAATTGCCCTTTATTACTTTGTATTTACAATATTTATTGACATTTTCATTACTCTTTATCCAGACCAATGTGTGTACAGCAGTTTAGATAAACAAGATTGACACAATGATTACAAAGTAATGATAATGAAAAGTGACTTTTATTAGGGATATATAAATACCCAGTGTATTACCAAACGCACAGATATTGCTGTTCTTTGTGTAATCAGCAGAAAGAAATTCAACTATACCACTTTGATGTTGTCCTTTTCCCTTAGGAATCCCTTTCACTTTTTACCCTATTAAACCCCCAATCAAGCTGTGAGTAAAGAAGGAGAAAAGTTTATTCATTGCACCAAAATGTTTGTTGTTATTACTTGTCAACAGAGATAATGAGAGCAATGATCAGTTTAGTTTCTGTTTAAATAGACTAATGTGTGCACCTTACTTTGTATTTCACTACGCCACCCAAAAGTCACTCGCATTACCTTACCTCTTTGATTTGTGGAGAATTACATTAAGTGACAGGAAAAACACATTTAACGGCTTTCTGATTCATTTAATTAAACATTTCAGTGTTTAAATGTGCTGTTTTATAATTGTTATTGTTATTGTTATTGTATATTTAAAACACAGTGTACTTGAGTAGTCAACAGCAAGGTTATTAAGTTAAATGTGACATTATCTGCGTGTTTCATTTAAATTTGGATTGCAAGATTAGAATTTTTATTTAAGATGTGTTTGAATAATATATGTGACAGAACTGGCAAAAGTGTGAAAAAGAAAAAGAAAATAATCCCCCTGGACTGTTTCAGTCAACATGCGGAGGGGCAAGTGTTATGGTTGATGGTGAAGCTGACCATGGTCCTGAACCTGCAGCATCCACAAGATTATAAATCTTATTACTGAACTCACCTGTTTGTATGGTTATATGAGCAGTTCTATATGTCCTGTGCTAGATCCTCAAGTTGATAAACATTGCAAAGATGTTCCATGTTTTCATCAGATAACGTATTCTTCTGAAATGAGTACTTGGTGAAGAGGTTCAGAGTAGTTTTGTGTTTGATAGGCTCTATTGATTCACAGTTTTTCCCCCTTTTTGGTCAATATAAATTTGAATTAAATTGAAGCCTATACTACTCGGCTTACACTTATACACAATTGTACACTTATACAATACTGCACTTGCATTATATTAGATGGTCTGTTAATTGGAACAGGTTTCTTTAATATATATAATTGTCATTGCTCATCTACAACTCTTATTGCACCCCTAGTTATTCACGGAGGTAGGGCCAGGTCTTGATTTTCCCGTAATGTGGTTTCTGACACTTATTGATGAGTTTTTCCTTGTATTCAGAGATCTTGGGCTTGGTCAGGAACTGATTTCTAATATAGGTATTGATCCATGTAGGGTATGTGACAGGTTATACACCGGGGTACTATGAGAGTGGGTGAAAAAGGTATAACTGTATTAGAGTACAGAGTTCAAAACACTTTACATGGAAAGAACATAATTGCTGTTTGCAGCTTCATACAATACCTGCCGTTATTTTAGGTTATTATTCTTTATGAACCAGTCACTTGTCATTATTCTTCCAATGCCTAGACTGTACATGTATTTTAAGAATCAACTCAAACCAACTTGGCAATCCCTGTGCATGGCACAAACAGTTTATTCTTTTTGCTTGCCATCCTCCCACATGCTGCAATATAAATTTGTTTGATAGACTGCATGAATTTGTGTCCTGAAAAGCATTATGCATGATATAGTACCAGTAAGTTGTTGTTAGCTTCTGTAAGGCCCAATTTCTTACTTATTTTTGCTCAAAGTACAGTAAGTCCAGAATGGCTGTTTGAAGTTCAGATTTCTTTTATTTAATTTATCGGAATTTATTTGAATTTTCAGATTTGAATCTGAGAAATTTAATCTGAGGTTGTGCATGTTGGCTCGTGTGGTTCTGTGGCGTAAAAGAGGTTGTATCTAAAGTTAACAGGAGCTGCTAGGCCTCAACACAAACACTTAATTTTACAGTCCTTTCAGATAACCTTTTTTCCACAAACTTTTCATTCATATATGAATAAATAATGATATATATGAAAGTGCTTTGATTTAAGGTCTTTCACTTGTGGGAAAAAATAAGTTGAGAAAAAGTATGCCTGTATTTATTTATTGTTTATGTATGGATGGATTTAAAGTAGAAACTAGTATCATAGAATTTTATTGTTTGTCTTTCATTGGGCATATAGGGATGGTAGACTCGTCTTATCTCTCCTCAGTGTGATATTAACCTGTTCTCCTAGTACAAAAAATGGTTTTTGGCTTCATCCGCACACCGAAGACCAAAACCAGAAAACTCAAAGCCATTACAGAATACACACTGACTGGAGGAGGAAAAAAAAACACCACAAACACCAAAACAAGCTGAAACACGTTTAAAAATCAGTCTAACTGCGATTCAGAACCAAGGAGCATGGACAGCGACACATCTACAGATTCACTTAACATGACAAAAACACAGTGGAAACGCCAGCAATAATAAGGGTGTTATCTAATTCTCACTAACCCAGTATACCAAGTTGTCCATTCGTCATTTTGATCTGGATATCACTAGGATAGAAAGACGCCAGTCTCCACCTAGCTGCCCCAGCACCTCTTTAGAGCCAATTAACTTATAAAATGAAACTTACACATTTTCCATTTTATTTGCCATTTGTTTTATAATTTAGATTTCACAGATTTAGGGGGAGGGCTGCCCCTGGCCTTAATCTAAACTACTGTATACCATTGCTTCTCTACTACAGCACAGCACTATAGTTTAATATTTGATAGGAGTAACTGCTTATCAGGACACTGTCACTGAATCAACAGTTAGTTCAGATCAAACATTAGCACGACCTTGTAAGATCCAGTGATGGAAACATTTCAGAAAATAGAATGAGCATAACAACTCTTATAATGAGTAGGCTATATAGTTTCAGTCGAACTTATTCAAAGAGAGAGACAGAGAGACAGAACGGGGAGGGAGGGGGAGATGGCAAAGAAAAAAAAGCAGTTGATTAGGACAACGTGCCGCATGGAGTCTTCGGGTTCTTGTTATTTCCATGACTTTTTATTATCTGCCTTCCCATTACAGGAGTCGACTCTGAAGAAAGGGGGCATAGACAATTTAAATGAGCAATGAATGCATCAGTGGATACAAATCACTATAAAATCGGTTGAACTTGGTAGTGAATGTAAGCAGTTTCCCCCGTGTTTTTCCCTCCTTATGTTACCTCTTCTTGCACCTTGTGCAGAGTCTGCCCCACAATGTCCTCATCGTGGCGTCCCTCAGAGCCGGACTCCCCCACAAGTACACCGCCGGTGTGCACACGGCGTTGAAACGAGCCATGATAGCGAAAAGATTGGTGGCCTCGTTCCCGAATGTCAGCCCTCTGCCTAACACAAATCTGATGATGATATTAACAAAAGACGGGCTCCACAACACCAAGAAGCTTATGACAACAAAAATGATGATTCTCAAGGACTCCTTTTTGTTTTCTTTCTCGGCGCTGGGGGGGTCTCTCTCTACCTGGAATCTGGCAATAACATACAGTTTGATAGTCATGACCACTTTGGTGAGCACAATTAGCTGAAAAAATACTATGCTGAATACATACAGCTGGATGGCTTTGGAAAGTGGCAACACATTCCTGGCGAGCAAGTGAGCAGCGTTGTAAACCCAACAGTAGAGGTTCACACCTATCACAAACGGTCTCGTTATGAAGCGGCTGTAGATGAAAGGGTGGCACACAGCAAAATAGCGGTCAAATTGTGCGAACAAAAATGTCAGTATATTGACCCCTAGAAGTGACGGTAGTACATTATAAGTTCCATTTCTAGACGGATATCCCTCCTGAACATCAAACAGACCGAGATAATACACTGAAAACCCAACGAGCGTATCACAAATACTGGTGTTCAGCATGAAAATAAACCTGTTTTGAATTCGGAGCGCTCTGGTGGACAAGATGCCCACAACTACTGTTCCGGCTACGAGAACAGTAGTTGTAGCGAATAGAATCTGGAAAATAAAGACGAAATAGTCCTCAGGACTGTCGAAGTTCACCGAGAGAGGCACTCCTCCTGTCATAGACTGTGTGATGTTGGAGAGGAGCATTGTTTATGCGCAAATGGATAAGCGCTACCATTATTTTATATATATGTAGACCTGCTGAAGTCACCAGCCTTGATCTCTTGAGATTTGCTTTGATGTGATTGTAATTGACCGTATCGTTCCCTTTAACACCAGCGAATTTAACCTTTGAAGATATTAACTATATTATAGTATGTTTCATTCTTTCTTCTAACATGCAGCACATTAGGCTTTTATTCGGCTTTTGTTGTGCAGCCAAATAACAAAACGTGCTCACCCTGATGCAGCAACAATGCAAAAACATTAAAAAGAAAAAATATTTTCTAGTGATGTGTGACAACGAATGTAAACCTGATAAAGACAACCTAAAAAAACAAAGAAACAAACAAACCTACGCAATTAAATAACAATTAATGTGAATGTAATCTGTTAGACCTTCAGTTAATATGTAATTCAATTACTAATCAAAATGTAGGTGTTTACAAACGGGTTATATTTGAATATATTCTTTTATAGGTAAAACACTGACAGATAAGATGCATTCTGTTGCTTTGCATCTTTTGGCCGAGCTTTCTTTTGGCATATCTGCGGAGAACTCGGGTCAGATAGGTGATCTAATAATAAGACTCACTAACTTAATTCAGCAGAGTTTTCATTAAATATTAACTTGTAGAGCTCATAAAGTTGTGACATTTCCACAGGGCACCAACGGACTAGATTAAAGTTACAGTACATCAGGGTATCAATGACCTATTACATTTCAAAAGTAACCTTCCCAACACTACATATCACTGCATTAATATTAGGCTATATGTGAATTTACATGAGCTTTTATCACTCGTTTGAGTTGTATGTTATCCAAAAACACCAGCAGAGGGTGCTATTTTAAATTTACAGCGATTTTTTTCATCAGCACAGACCGAGACTTAAATGAAATAGCCAATTAAAAAGACTTAAAGTACGACAAAATATATCTGATTCTAATTAACCAAAACAGACCAGTGCTCAGTAAAACAGTTTTAACCGCCATTTGTGTTTATGGGACTATTGGTGAAATATTGCTGTGGGCTCAAAATGTTCAAACAAGAGACAGTTGATTATAATGAACTGGTACTCATTCATCTGTTAAAGGCTGCGTCAGGTAGGGTTATTAGACATAATTTCAGCACCAGGAGCTGTCCACAACAGACAGCATGGCCTCATTAGCTAACAGGCCTGGGCCTATTACATGCCCGCAATCCACAGTAGGTCAGTCTGGTCCGTAGCATCTCTTTTCTTTCTTTCTTTCTTTCTTTCTTTTTTTTTTAACGTTTTGTATTATTTTATTGTCTTTGGAATATAGTTGTGCAAATAAAGTAAATTTATCTTGAGCTTTTTAGCACTACAGATGAAAGAGGAAAGTCCAGCAGAAAAAGTCTAATATATTGATGTTACAGATCTGCTCGGCTTCTTGGTGCAGTGTTGACTAACTTCTCTCCTACACACATTTCTCTTACACTGTTATAAATCCACATATGCTGAAAATCGGCATTTTACCATGACCTAAAAATAATTCATTCGGTTATCTGGTTCATTAAAATGTAATAGTGATAATAATGAGAATGTCAATAATAATATATTGAACTGAACTTGACCACAACAAAATGTCAATTTCGTATGATGCTACAGGAAAATGTTCGTTAAATCAGTGATATGTCATATTCCATTGCATTAGAATACCTTAGGATAATTGAAGTATAAAGACGCAAGAGTGAGCTTTGAGGAGTTACTCTTCTTATTTAATTATTTGAACAATATAGATATAATATAATATAAATTCACAAAAATCCCGACCAGACCAGACGGGCAAACTGCAGTTCAGTGTCAGAAGCAACCTGTCGGTGACAACATATTGTGTGATAAAAACATTTATTTTTTAAATTAGATTTACAGTTTGAATATTTTCTCCTTTTTACTTTTAATTATTTTCATAAAGTCCTTTGCCACCAAATCCTTGCAGTAGTCCTCGGTTAACACGTGTCACAATCAATGAATCTTCATCGGCCTTCCTTCGCCGCTTCCCTTCACAGGACACGAGCCAATTCTGAGAAAGAAGCAGATTATCAACTGCTTATGACAAGTTTTCTATTAAGAGAATGGAATAGCATCTTTACAGCAGTATAGGGACATTTAACCTCTTACCTCCTGTTGCATCTTGGGCACAATCTGCCCCACACTGTCCTAAACAGGGCTTCCCTCAGAGCCTGACTTCCCCACAAGTACACCGCCGGTGTGCACACGGCGTTGAAACGAGCCATGATAGCGAAAAGATTGGTGGCCTCGTTCTTAAATATCAACCCTCTTCCTATCACCAGTCTGAGTACGATATTAATAAAAGAGGGGCTCCACAACACCAAGAAGCTTATGACAACAAAAATGATGATTCTCAAGGACTCCTTTTTGTTTTCTTTCTCGGCGCTGGGGGGGTCTCTCTCTACCTGGAATCTGGCAATAACATACAGTTTGATAGTCATGACCACTTTGGTGAGCACAATGACTTGTAAGCTGATAATACTGAAAACATACAACTGTATTGCTCTGGAAAGGGGCAAGAAATTTGAAATGATCGTCTGAGCGTAGACATGAAACCAACAATAGACATTTGCTGAGATAACCACTCGCCGGGTTAGAAAACGTGTGTAGATGAATGGGTGGCACACAGCAAAATAACGGTCAAACTGTGCAAATAAAAATGTCATTATGTTTACACCTAGGAGAGAAGGTAACATATTGTGAGTTCCATTTCTTGAAGGATATCCCTCCTGAACATCAAACAGACCGAGATAATACACTGAAAACCCAACGAGCGTATCACAAATACTGGTGTTCAGCATGAAAATAAACCTGTTTTGGAGGCGAAGCGCTCTGGTAGACAAGATGGCAATGACTACAGGCCCGGCTACGAGAACAGTAGCTGTAGCGAATAGAATCTGGAAAATAAAAATTAGATATTCCACAGGAGTGTCGAAGTTCACTGAGAGAGGCACTTCTCCAGTTAGAGAGTCTGTGATGTTGGACAGGAGCATTGTTTCAATAATGCGGCTTGATTTTTTTTCTCTTTATATAGCTCGTTGATAAGCCACTACCGATGTAAACTGTCATTTCCCCATGAGGCATGACCTCATATCACTTTACATATCAATGAATAGGCTTCTGTTTGTTCAAATAACTTGATAAACATTTAAGTTTTTGTTTTTTTTCTGTAAGGCTTTTTCAGTTCAAACTTTTTATTTCAGTTTCCTTACTTTATTTATTTTATCTTATTCATTTTTGGGGGGTGGAGGGGCAGCACAATAACATATGACAACCTGGAGTTTCTCCAGAAGACAGTGTATCATATCGATAGATATGAGTCCTCATCTGTGACGTTTTAGAGGACAAGAGGTTGTTCTGCCCACTCTTTGGGTGCGTGTAAAGGTTCTTTTTTTTGGACATGTGTTGAAGGATTGTGGCAGTTGTGATTTGGTTTTATAAAATTATGTTGTCCAATTGTACTATCAGATGTGTGTGTGTGCAGTGGTACATTTGTATTCATGCATGCATTGGTTTTGGCAAAAATGTAAAATGCACATTTACAGGGGCGTCTTTTTATATAATATATGTTTGTTTGATAATGGGAAATTATTTTAAAGTATGCAACAATAATAATGCTTTTGTTATTATTGTTATTATTATTATTATTATTATTATTATTATTATTATTAGTAGTAGTAGTAGTAGTAGTAGTAGTAGTAGTAGTAGTAGTATTATAGCCAGCAGTAGTGAGACAGAAAGTAACCCAGTTCATAAGTAATATTTAACCCAGCAATAGAGTTAATTCACTCACCAAGTTTGGTTAAAAGGTAAAACGCAGCACTTGGTTCAAACCAACCCAGTCATTGGTTGGGTTATTTTAGTCCCACTTTAGACGTGAAGCCCACCCGCACATCGACGAATTTGATAGAAAGGCCGGTCATTGTTCGAAGTACATCCAAAACGACCTTGTCTTAAAAGTACATGGGTGTTTATGATAACACATGCCACGAAACCGGCTTTTTTTCTACTTATTTATTTGAATTTCCCTTTTATGTTTATTCAACAACAGACAAGCTGCCCAAGTTAAGTGATCTTTTCTTTTAATCGATGAATTCGTAGCCCATAGAAGTTGAGCTTCCCCTTTTCTACAAAAATCATTCATGGTCCATCTTGTAGGGGCGAAACAACGATACGGAGCTGACCAAGGTGCTGAACTTGCGGCTGTCAGCTGTAGTGGAGCTGTCCGCGGTTATCGACCTTGATCTTCGTCGTTCAGGCGACACCGCTGTCCGTGGTCCTGACCCTGCGGCTGGCAGCGGCCATCATGCTTAATTCCATAAACTTATGAATGAACATTAACCGGATTTTACAAGTATATGCGGTTTCATATAGACTACACCTTGTGCTAAATCGAATGGGTGTTCTCTTCGCATGTTGTGCTTTTATGAAATGAATATATTGGTGTGGCAGTTCAGAGGCCTACTCTGTGTTTCTGCTATTAGAAGCTGTCACGTCCGTCCTGTTGGCTGTCGCGTTTATTATTTGGTCTGGACACAAAAAAGATCAGGTCCGCAAATTATGCTGAAATAATAGGCTTCTGTAACCAACCTTGATGAATTCCCGAAAATAAAAAACACACAATCCATATTCATTAGTTCAAGCAATAGAGGCAGTTTTTACAAAAACGTTATCCAAATATTAGTGTATATGACAAGTACATAGGTGTGTTTCTTGTGAAAAACATCTGAACATCCTTTCTCAAATGAAATGTCGGAATTAGTGGCCCCAGCCCCCGACTGTAATGCCCTCACCTAATCTTAAACCAGCCTTTCACATTTCACCATTGTTTGGAATTCACGCACACAAAAGTCCAACTCAATCTGTCTAGTGCGTTTTGTTTCAGTCTTTAAAAAACATTTGAAACATTTTGAACAACATTTGAAAAATCCCATCAATTCCAAATTGACTGAAACACATGCCATGTCAGCCCCGTGACCTGGCCATTTATTCCTTCGGGTACCTTTATGATGATGCAGATGCTGTCTGCTTCATTATAATTTGTTTCTCACTCCATCAAAGATAAAGCCAATTCTGAAAAGAGACAGGGAGAGAGAGAGAGTTAAAGTAATTGTCTTACAGAATATTTCTTATTTACACACAATTAGACAAAAATCAAATGTTCCTAAACAACAAGAGAGGGACATTTTAAATCACGGTAACTGTTGAGACCGACCTTGCCCTCCGTCTGGGGCAGATCCTCCGCCACACTATTCTCCATACAACCCCCCGCAGCGCCGGGCTGCCCCAGATGTACAGAGCCGGGGTGACCAGTGCATTTAGGCGTGCCAAGATGGCGAACAGGTTAGTGGCCTCATTTTTAAACCTCAGACCTTTCCTAGTCAACTGTCTGACAATTATATTGACAAAGGATGGACACCACAGGGCCAAGAAACAAATAACCACAAACACAATGATGCGCAGCGACTCCTTCTTGTTGTCTCTCTCAGCGCTGGGCGCCTCTCTCACCAGGTGATTCCTGGCTATAATGTATAATTTAATTGTCATCAATAATTTAATGAGAACTATAATCTGTAGAGTCATTACACCAAACGCGTTTATTTGCGCCGCCTTTGAGATGGGCACCATATTCTGCACCGTGAGGATGGAGTATGTGTAAATCCAGCAAAAGGCGCAAATTCCAATGACAAAACCCCGCGTTATGTAGCGGTTGTAAAAGAATGGATGGCACACGGCAAAGTAGCGATCAAACTGAGCAAAGAGGAAGGTTAACACATTGACACCCAGGAATGAGGGTAAAATATAGTATGTCCCATTCCTCGAGGGATAGCCCTCTTGGACGTCGAAGAGGCCGAGGTAGTAGACCGAGAAGCCGGTCAGAGTGTCACTGATGCTCGTGTTCAACATGAATATAAACCGGTTCTGGCCTCGGAGAGACCGGGAGGAAGAGATCCCGATGACCACCGAGCCGGCGACGAGCACGGCGCTTGTTGCGAACAGAATGTGGAAGATGAAGATGATGAAGTCTTCCGGAGTGTTGAAATCCACCGACAGAGGGACGGTGCCGTTAAGGAGCATCCTGACGCTCCGCCACGAGACGAGCGTTCGTTATATTTATACATGAATGGTGCCACTTGTTAGAGTTCAAGCACACCTCTAAATCTCTGGAGAGCATGAGGCTCCCGCATAAACAAATGTTTACTGGATAGGCCTATGGAAAGAATATAAGAAGTCTGATCACAAGAAGTCCCGGGGGTGTTTGGTGAAGTAATAAGACGATCGCAAGTCACCTTTTTGTGCGTCCTGATGTTTCTACAACACGTTTTAGTGACTTATTGCGGCCCTTCACCTGAGGTCTGAGGTCTGCATGGTCCAGGATGACCCACAAATAGAAAATATGATACTTCTATCAAGTTCAGTTCCGTCATTGTCCTCACCACTAGCCTACCTTGATTTCAGGGTAAAAACTCACTTATTTTCTAAATGAACGCTGATATTCTTCAACAGCCAAAAAACGTGGATTATTGCATATAATTAAGTTTCAGCAGCTAATAGGTTTTATAGGAAATTAATGAAGCGCTACGTTTATCATCAGCAGCGGCATGAGAGGTGGGTGGCTGCCATACACAGCGCGCGACTGTCACACTGTCATACTGAGATGTGTCTGAAATCAGCTTTTCTGTTGGCTGTTAAACCAGACATCAACCTTTTCCTAGCCTGAACTGAACTGAGTACCTGAACTTAGGCCTAACTATTAAGAAAGTGTAGCCTGCTCACTACAAATGCATGTTGTACTGCAACATCAGATGTTTTGAAAACGGTCTATGAATATTCTACTGATACTGTCTATTACTGTCTACTACTGTCTGTGTTCAGTATCAACATTGCGACCTACCGAATACATAAATTTACAACATATCGTCATTGTGCAAATAGAAAGGGCAGCCTGAGCCAGTCAAGACATTTGTTCTCCTATTTGTTGTGGCTGTTAAGTTGGATAGAAACGTGATTTGAGGAAACAGGGATGGCAAAACAAGACATCTGTGTAATGAAAAACTTTAGTGAGTCTCTTTCTTGACTTTGCACTTCTGTCTAAATCCTTTCTTTTTTGACGACACTGTTGTAATGGAGGATGATGCAGTTTTCCCAAATGTCTATTTTGTCCCATTGTAGACTATGATCATATAGGCAACAGTAAATGTCCACCAAATTACCCTGAATGGACATAAAGTGCTCGTTTCAATCTTAAAACCTAACCGACACACATAGCTGGTATTATAACAACATAAACACGTCATAACAGACACATGCACAGAGTTTGGTGAAACTTTCTAAACAAATAAGCATTGATCACTTGCATACCTCAGTAAAGTCATTGCGTTTTTCAGCCACTAGAGGGCGGGGTGAACCATCGTTTCACTGTAGAATGAACAGTCTTTTCGGTTGGCATTATATTCTTATCACGATTCTTGTCACACATGCCGTCATAGCCTGTAAAGGAGTGTTTTACGTCTGTTTTATGTCGCGAATTCAGTTTATATTCAATATATACTACCGGTCAAAAGTTTTAGGACATCTTGTTGAACTCTATTTAATCTTTAATAGTTCAACCCTCATGTTTCTTCAATGGAAATCAAATATTATTTAGAAAGTTCTTCCCAGCACTGCAGCGGAGGTCCCCACAAATGTTTTGCACTTGTATAATTTGTTCTGCTTTCACCCTTTGTCCCATTCAAACCAGCTCCGTGCGGTTTAAGTCTTTCATTATGTGAAGCCATAGTTCTATTCTTCTAATGTTTTGGGTTATTATCTTGCTGTAGGATGAAACCCTGACCAACCAGTCTGTCTCCCTTTGTCTATTTCTCACCATTCTGATAACAAAACAACACTACTGCCTTCTGTACAGTATAGTCCAAATAATGCTTCAGAGAGTGTAGTAACAGTGTGTTACAACACTGGCTTTGTATAGGGGGTTTGTAAATCATCAGCAAAA